ATGTCGGTAAGGTTTAATCCTTTCGTGTCAGATTGGTTTTCTTTTCTTTTTTTTTTTTTTGTTTTACTAATGTTGTACCAATGCAAGGCCCAAGTTCCACTCAAGGTAGAGGGTTGCTATGTGGACTTATATTAGCGTAGAAAAGAACAAGCGTTAACAATATAGACCTGGATCAGACTTTAGAAGGGACTGGAAACCCAATCCTAAAGACGAAACAAGAGACAACCCTCTACAACACCTTGTTCAAAAGACCGGGGAGGAGTGTGAACCGGACAGTAGTCAAACCTATCTACTGGAACAATTACTCGAAGTTAATTGGGCGTAAAATTGACAATGACATCAAATGATTATAGCTGGCCACTCGTATTCGAGGTTAGCCGTCTACAGAAGAATTTGCGTTTATGCAACACCCAAAAAGCCCACCTGTGGTTTATACTGCAACTATGCTGAGCAGACCTTACAGTTTCTCGGAAAGAGCGTGTTATCTAGCGTGATCTACAATTTGAACAAGGCCAGAATGCTCAAGCCCTCGGCCATGATGACTTGTGACTTCGTGCTAGAACAGCTTGGTTCAATTAGTGATATGGTTTTCAGGCACTTTCCAAAGGTGAGAACGTTCGAATCTCACCATAGGTCTTATGGTCACAATGCGAACGTTTTAATCACTCGGCCCATGCATAAAATACATGATGCTAATAAAAAGGACCTGCATTACGTCGCTGCAATTTTAATTAATTCATTTTTTATTTTGACTATTTATTTTGCTTTCTCGTTTCGTGGTTACCACAACTCTTTATTCAATATTTCGATTTTATCCTACGAAAGGCGAAAAAAACGCCAGAAAAAGGATTATATTATCCGGTCAGCAAAACAGACGACTGCCCTGTGCCCAACAATGCTGTCTATACTGATTTTATTTTTTTTTTGGTGGGGGGGGGCTTCAGAATCACTAAGCACAACGAATTTTGGTACGAAGAATCTATTTTATATCTGTCAATTCAAAGGCTTTAGACTCGCTGTGCTTTTGTGAACCGGCTACAATTTATATTGAAAATAGTTCGCCACTCTCTCACACACACACTCTCTCTCTCCCTACCCTCTTTTTTATCTCTCACTCTCTCCATCTTTCCCTCACTCTCTCTTTATCTGTTTCTCTCTCATCTATCGTACTTTCTCCCTCTTCATCTATCTCTCACTCTCTCTTTCTCTCTCCTCGTTTATCTCTCACACACTCTTTCTCTAACTTGCCCCATATCTATCCCCTCTTTCTTTCTATCTCTTTTTTCTCCGTCTCTCTCCCTATCTATTTCACGCCCTTTCTCTTTCTCTATTCCCTTCTTCTTCTCTCTCTAGTCTCTCTTTCTTTCCATCTCACTCTCTCTCTCTTTCTCTCGATCTGTCTTTCTCGCTCTTCCTCTTTCTTTCTCTTTCGCTATCTCTCTCCCTCTTTCTCTCCATCTCCCTGTTTCTTCTCCTCTCTCCATCTCTCTTTCTCTCTTCTCTCTCTCACTATCTCTCATTCCCTCTCTCTATTACTCCTTCTATCTCGCCCCCATCTCTCTCACCATCTCTTACCCTCCTACTCTTATTGAGATTTTTGGACATAATGATGTACAGAAGATTTGGCGCAAGAAAAGTGAGGCTTTCCTCTCAAAGAACACGGCAACATTAAAATATGGAGGTGGATTGATGATGTTTTGGGGTTGTCGTAGTTCAATTAATTGCAATAAGAGGAGGAATGAAATCTGCTGACTATGTCAAAATTCTTGATGAAAATCTACAACTATCAGTTCATCTAGGTTGACGATTTACTTTCCAGCAAGATAATGATCCCAAGCATACGACTAAATGCGTGGCTTCAGAAAATGATTAAGGTTCTGCCATAGCCTTCAATGAGTTCTGACTTGAATCCTATTGAAAATCTATGGCAAAAATTGAAAGTTCGAATAAATCGTCGATCACCAAAAAACCTTCAGGAATTAGAACGTGTAAACATTGAGGAATGGAAGAAAATCCCAGAAAAGACTTGTTTAAATCTCATCAAAGACTTTAGAAAACAATTGCAGCAAGTTATAAAGATGAGGGGTCATGCTATTGACTATTAATAACGTGAAAATTGTTCATTTTTTTTCTATTTTTCATACTGTACGAATAATTTTGTCGTTTCCTATTTTGAAAAATTCGCCTGTCAAATTTGTTGTATTTAACTTGTTGTTCTAAAAATTGAGTTTTATATTCCTTTTTTTTTTTTTTTTTGTGCTTATTAACAGATAAAACCCTGGCATCATACAGGTATTAGATTTAGAGAAATGGATAAAAATATTCAAAATTGATGGGTTTACGAATAATTTCGTCGTTGATTATATCTCATAAGGTTGGCGTTAGTGGTATGGATTCTAATGCAATTTCTTCAAAGTATTCCATGTATGTGTTTGCTATTGCTAGTGATAATCCATCCTGTCAATACATGTCTGATCACATTCCGAAGTGTGTTGTTTGTGTTCAGAAAGTCAGCATCTCCATCAGGTTATCTATTGGCATACTGATCCGTTCTAGTCTGTCCCTAACTACTGATAATGCCTCCTCCCTGGGTACCTTGATGAACAAACTCACCACGTCCAGTCTCGCCGTCTGGTTGGATCGGATGGGAGCATCTTTGATTATTTCCAAGAAGTGGGCGAAGTTTCGGACATTTGGAGGTGTCAATTATATCTACAGTGACTCTATCTATCTATCTATCTATCTATCTATATATATATATATATATATATCATTCATATACACTCATTCTTGCACACACACTCACGCACTAACACACTCACTTAATCTATCACGTACATACACACTCACTCAGTCGCTCTCTTATACACACAGCCAATCAATCTCTCGTCCTTGCTCTATCGCACACACTCACTCATTCTCTCACACATAGTCACTTTGTCTCACATAGAACACTCGAAAACTCTCTCACATACACTCATTCATATGCACACCCACTGACACACCCACTCATTCACCCCCCCCACTCATACTTACACCCATTGTCTCACACACACACTCATTCTCCCATTCATTCACTCTCTCACACACACTCACTCTTTCAAATACACTCACTCGCTCAGTTACACACACACTCACTCTCTCACTCTCAACGCATACACTAACTCTCCCAATCGCTCTCACAATCACTGTCTCACACTCACACACACTCTCTCTCTCTCTCTCTCACACACACACACACACATTTTCTTTTTATCAAATTAAAGCCAATTTGAACGGGAGGGAATATCGTTTAAGATTTGAATTAACTAAATTTGTTGTCTCTGGGATAAATCGTGAACATTCAGCCAAGATGGTACAACACATAAAAGGCTATTTTATCTTCGCATTTCACACTTAATTCAAGTGTGTCGCCGTTAGGATCTTTTTAGAAAGGAATATCAAAAAAGAAGAAACAGATAAACAGCACAAATCTCTTGTTTCCTTTTATATTTTGGGTTGTTTTTTATTTTGCTGTGGAGTCGGCAATTTCCGAGTTCAACCATCATTGATTATTATCAATTAATTTAATCTTTCTTTGCGTTGCTTTCCAGGTACTTAAATATCACTGAAAACGCGATAATATCTACCTTTAATTAAAACTTTACATTCAATTGATTGAAATAATCATTCATTTTCAACTTTTGTTAATTATACTATTGAATTGACAACTCAACCGAACTAAGCAGCTTATCAATAATCAGGGTTTCTTTTAGCATAGGAGTCGCGATTTGGAATGCTGATTTTCAAAGTAGGCAATCTCTTCTCATCTGGCAGATTGGGGCACCAAAAAACTACCTTCTTTAATTTGCTCCATTAGTTCTTATAAATTATCAAGCCCGTCCTGGATAAGACGATAAACTACATCCGTTAGCAAATTCCCAAAACAAGGAAATACTTATAGATTCAAATATACAGAATCAATAAATACCTATCCCCGAAATAAGTAAATACTTACTAACTCAAATATACAGAATCAATATTGAATCACCGAAACAAGGAAATAAAAGACTCAAATATACTATCCCTCGAAACACAGAAATACTTACAGACTCAAAATACAGAATCAAAATCGAAACAAGGAAATACTTATAACTCAAATATACAGATTCAATAATCGAAACAAGGAAATGCTTATAGATTCAAATATACAGAATCAATATTGACCTATCCTCGAAACAAGGAAATACTTATAGACTCAAATATACAGATTCAATATTGACCTATCCCCGAAACAAGGAAATACTTACAGACTCAAATATACAAAATTCATATTGACCTATCCTCGAAACAAGGAAATACTTATAGACTCAAATATACAGAATATTGACCTATCCCGAAACAAGGAAATACTTACAGACCAAATATACAGATTCAATAACCTACGAAAACAGATTCAAAAACTTATCTCGAAAACAAGGAAATACTTATAGATTCAAATATACAGATTCAATATTGACCTATCCTCGAAACAAGGAAATACTTATAGACTCAAATATACAGATTCAATATTGACCTATCCTCGAAACAAGGAAATACTTATAGACTCAAATATACAGATTCAATATTGACCTATCCTCGAAACAAGAAATTACAGACCTATTGACCTATCCCTGAAACAAGGAAACCTATCCTCGAAAACAATGAAATACTTATAGATTCAAATATACAGATTCAATATTGACCTATCCTCGAAAACAAGGAAATACTTATAGATTCAAATATACAGAATCAATATTGACCTATCCTCGAAACAAGGAAATACTTACAGACTCAAATATACAAAATCCATATTGACCTATCCTCGAAACACAGAAATATTTACAGACTCAAATATACAGAATCAATATTGACCTATCCTCGAAACACAGAAATGCTTACAGACTCAAATATACAAAATCCATATTGACCTATCCTCGAAACACAGAACTACTTACAGACTCAAATATACAGAATCCATATTGACCTATCCCCGAAACAAGGAAATACTTATAGACTTGAATAGACCACGGACGAGAAGGAAACTAGAAATAGCATAAATGTGTCTCTACAGAAGGATACTTAGAATTCCAAGGACGCAGAGAGTAAACATCGATGAAGACTCAAAGAAAATGGCAACAGAAAGAACACTTCTACGTAAAATCACGAAAACATTGCTGGGAAAGGCGGGCTTAGGAAACTTAATCTTCCCCGGCCATAATGATGGCAATAGAGATAAAGGAGGCCAGTGAATCACTTATATGAGAAGCTCGGCTGTATGAGTGATGCAACTGGGAGAGACGGGTCTAAACAACGAGAGAAAAACTGCTAAGAGTCACCCCGTGAAGTTGTGGAGAACAATGATCGCCTTATTTCTGAAAGGACGTGACACAGGAAATTCCTACTCGCTGCCAGCCAGAAAACACACAGTGCATGATTACGAAGCCTAATGCATTCGATCCTCACTGGATGCTCCACATTTTCGGCCTTGTACCACATCTAAGTTACGCTTAGAGAATCGTTGGGCACTTCGATGTGGTGTAATGGTTAACAAGCTTGTCTCGCTAAATCAATTACGACTGTATAGTGAGTTAGATCCTCATTGGGTGCCCCATACTTTCGGTCTATTGCAATATATAAGCTACGCTGAGAAAATCACCATGGTGAAGGTTTTATTTTTTTGTAACTATGATTCGTCACTATCCGCTGCTTGCTGTAGCAGTCAGTTGTTTTGGAACATATTCACGCGGATAAAAAGGGGACTGCCGCATTAATCATTTAAAAGGTAATCGATGAAAAATTTGATTGGTCAACTGGCATTTTAGACACACGAGAAGAAATCGATAAATTAAATGGGCATCTGTTTTACGAAAATCGATAATTCAACGAAAATTATTGGGAAAAAATGATTATTTTTATTGTTTGTCACTGAAAATTAATTACCGCAATAAATATAAATTAGCTTGAAAAAAACATTATTAAAATTATTTGCATTTTACACATATTTAAAAAAACATTATTAAAATTATTTGCATTTTAAACATATTTAAAAAACATTATTAAACTATTTGCATTTTATATATATTTAAAAAACATTATTAAAATTATTTGTATTTTATACATATTTAAAAAACATTGTTAAAATTATTTGCATTTTATACATATTTAAAAAAAACATTATTAAAATTATTTGCATTTTATACATATTTAAAAAAAACATTATTAAAGTTTTTTGTATTTTATACATATTTAAAAATATTATTAAAATTATTTGTATTTTATACATATTTAAAAAAATATTATTATAATTATTTGTATTTTATACATATTTAAAATATTAAAATTATTTGTATTTTATACATATTTAAAAACATTATTAAAACTATTTGCATTTTATACATATTTAAAAACATTATTAAAATTATTTGTATTTTATGCATATTTAAAAAATATTATTATAATTTGTATTTTATACATATTTAAAAAACATTAAAATTATTTGCATTTTATACATATTTAAAAAACATTATTAAAACTATTTGTATTTTATACATATTTAAAAACATTATTAAAG